TTCCTAAGAATTAATAACACTACAGTTAATAAATAAATAAATATTGTACAGCGTGACCTTGTTTAGCGTGCGCAACTAAATATGCCATAATCATGTTTTGTAGCGCACGCTTAACAAGGTTTAGCTTGTTTTTTGTAAGCTGTTTCGATGAGATGGCAGCTTCTTAATAATATAATTACTATATAATAACATAATTCAATATATTATATAATAATATAATCTATACATCTATACATATAAATAAAATTGGAGTGTCTGTTTGTAATATTGAAATAACCGTTTTTTACTATATGCGTATGAATATAAATACGGTACATACACCAAAATAACATTTTTTACATTTTTTGTCTGCTGTATAATATATATAAAATATTACATTTATTATCATTATTACACAATATAATAATAATAATATATCAAATAAATGAAATTGCAGGATTTCAGTTTTCCACTAACGGTACTTACACCAAAAATATAATTTAAAAAGTTTTGTCTGTCTGTCATTCTTGCTAACGACGACAAAAGAAATTAAATTCAATAGTTTTAATTATTAGATCGGATAAATAAACTTTTCACTTATTTTATTGATACTGGCTGACAATCTACAAACATACTCTCTAGGCTGACGAATCTGATAATTTTAAAATGGAACATCTGGATATTCAAAAATTGACGTAATTTTATTCCATTCATTCCATTTTTAAAATTATTAGGATCGTCACCTGGATAATTTTAAAATTGGAACATTTGGAAATCCGAAAATCTTCTTTGGAATATATCTGTCTAGATATTTTAGCGCGAAATTGTGTCGTAAATTTGATTCTATTCCATTTTTTTAATTATCAATTTCATCACATGATAATTTTAAAAATGGAATATTTGGAAATTCGGAAATCTTATATGGAATATATCTGTCTAGATATTTTGGCGCGAACTTGTGACGTAAATTTGATTCCATTCCATTTTTTAAATTATCAGGTTCATCACACGATAATTTTAAAAATGGAATATTTGGAAATTCGAAAATCTTCTTTGGAATATATCTGTCTAGATATTTTGGCGCGAACTTGTGTCGTAAATTTGATTCCATTCCTTTTTCTTATATTATAAATTTCATCACATAATAATTTTAAAAATGGAATATTTGGAAATTTGGAATCTATGCCTATATATTTTGCAGCGAATTTGTGATGAAAGTTTTATTCCATTCCATTCCATTTTTAAAATTATCATCGCATGATAATCTGATAATTTATAAATGGATGTTATATTTTGCCAATTATAAATTATCTCTATATCTATATCTATATCTATATCTATATCTATATCTAATCACATAGAAATTCGAAAATCTTTGGAATATATCTGTCTAGATATTTTTGAGCGAATTTACGATGTAAGTTTTTGCGTGAAAGAATCTATCGATCCATATTCACAAACTTTCGCGTTTATAATATTAATAGGTTTAATAAGATTTGTTTATTTATGGCAAAGGTGTAATTATGTACGCATTACATGCTCATACAAAAATCATAACATACAACACATAAATATCAACAATACATAATGTGAATGGTGTCCTTCATACATTTTATTACAATAACCTTTATTATGTCATTATTGGCCTGTATGAGCATGTAAGGCGTAAAAATGAAGATAATAATTTAAAGAAGGTATTATATATGAATGTGGATGCTTACAAGGGAAGAGGAAGACAGAAAAAGAGATGGATGGACTGTGTGAAAGATGATATGGAAAGAAAGGAAGAAGGAGATGACTGGGAACAGGGATGAATGGAAGAGAAAAACATATTATGCCGACCCCAAAACAATGGGAGAACGAAGAAGCAGATGATGTTATTATTACTTTTTAGACCAGTTTCAGTCTAAAATATTTAAGGTAAAAATCAGTCAGTCGAATTAAGATTCAACTCCTTTTTTGAAGTTGTTAATACATTAAACAACTTCTGGGAGTAATACAACACAAGAGAGGTAAGGCTTACCCAAGCAAGTGTTATAAAATGCTGGACTAATACAGCAAGTAGAGGTAAGGTTTACCCAGGTGAGTGTCACAAAATGCTGGTCTAATCAATCAGAGAGAGGTATAGCTTACTCAAGCCAGTATCACAAAATGCTAGAGTAATACAACAGGGAGAGGTAAGAATTTTTACCCAGGTGAGTGTCACAAAATGCTGGTCTAATACATCAGGGAGAGGTAAGGATTACTCAAGTGAGTGTCACAATATTCTGGAGTAATACAATAGAGAGAGGTAAGGTTTACCCAAGTGAGTGTCACAAAATACTGGTCTAATACATCAGGGAGAGGTAAGGATTACTCAAGTGAGTGTCACAATATTCTGGAGTAATACAATAGAGAGAGGTAAGGTTTACCCAGGCGAGTGTCACAAAATTCTGGTCTAATACAGCCGGGAGAGGTAAGGTTTACCCAGGCGAGTGTCACAAAATGCTATTACACTCTCGCCCAGAGGTCTGGTCTGATATAATAACCGCTGTTATCTGCCACAGTTATATCAACAACAACCAATTTGCGGGAAAACCTATTATTTCAATGGAAATAGAGTGATTTAGTAACAAAGTTCCATCGGAGATTATGGCTATTATCGGCAAAAGTGAAACTCGTTGTGGAAAGTCATTGTGCAAATTTCATTGCGAATTATTTGCTAAGAACAATTGAAAAGATAATTTTGACGCACTATTGAACTTTAGGACTATCAAACCAAATCAAATCAAAGAGCATTGAACATTTATTCATGAAATACATTTTAGCCGCTTAAGAACGTAGAGAAGAAGAAGAAAGAAAGATACTTACAAAAAGTAACAATAGTCCCAATCGTCCTCTCAACTACAGGTGTCATACCGAAACACATGCATCAGTCACTAAATACCCTGAACTTGCCCCCTAATATATATAAGTTTCTACAGACAGATTAGGCCTACATTTGTATTATGGTATATCCACCTGAAATAGAACATTGTTATGTACTTGGCTTAGGCCCGTACATAACAAGATTACCGGCGAAAGTCGAGAAAAAATAATGAAAAAAAAAAAAATAATAATCTCAGGACAATTCACACAGTGCCATCTAGACCCAAGTTAAGCTAGCTAAAGCTTGTGTTATGGGTACTAGATAACTGATACATATACATAGATATTTTTTTTCGTAAATACATATTATACATATAATACATATAAAGCAGACCGATACAAACAAACATACTCATGAATACAAATGTTTGTGCCGTGCGAGGAATCGAACCCGCGACCATCGGTCGTAAAGCGGCGTGCTAGACCGCTAGACCACCGAGGTCGTTAAGATTGTTTGTATTAATATTTTTCTTCCCTACCGTTCCCAATTCAAATTCTCAAGTTCAATTACATTCATTGAACAAAGTATATTGCTCGCTTAATGATAACAAACCTCCATGGCAATAGAAGTATATAATGTAAATAGAGTGATACATAAGTAAAAATTTAAACAAAGTTGCTTTAAAAAAATTTTTTTTTTATTTAATATTTTACGGCTCTGGATACAAGTCCTTTTTAGCCCAACATAAAATACAAAACCTAAAAAAAATTATAATTTCTTCCCAGTGTTGGAAATAAATTTATATAAAGTCTTGAATAGTGCAGGCCTTGATAAGATCTCTTCGCACTCGTCTTTCTTGCCAGTTCGTCTCGATTTAATCTGTATATTGAACTAGACCGGAGGGAATAAAATTAATACAAAACTTTCGTTCACAACTTATTATTATTATAATAAGCAGCCAAAATGACGTTCGTATCTAATTGTTCTTGACTTTTTCATAAATGATTATTTTTTTTAAATGGAACATTTGGAAGTGAACAATTAATAAAAATTAAGTATATATTAAAACACAAAATTTTATCACCTATAGTATAATCATTTACACGCGTACATAAATTATGTAGAATAGAATAGAAAATAGAATAGAAAATAATTTATTCAAATAAACTTAATTTAAGCACTTTTGACGCGTGGTAGATAAAAAACAAATTGTTATGACTATAACAATTTGTTTTTTATCTACCACACAAGAAGAACGAGCAAGAAACTTGTGTGTTGCTATTTTAAATAATCCTTGTAAGTTTACATTTACAAGTCGAAACGTGTGAATACAAACTACCAACAAGCACTAATTTAACTAGGCAGTATGGGCATTATTATAGATACTATATTATGTTCATAAAATTCTAAACTCGACTATGACATGAATTTTCAAATTACTTACTTTTAAAAAAAGATTCTATACCGATTACTGTTTACGTTTCGATCGCTTACGTTTAGCGATTACTTCAATGGCGAACTGATTTTGGTGTCTATTTATCGATAAAAAATTCCGGTTTTTTACCGTTTTAATCGGGTAATAATAAGTTACATTAGTACTTACTTTTATATATATATATACTTACTACAGAATACTTATTTATGATATATATAATTAATATATATTTCAAAAGAACGGCAGATCATATTGTAATTTTTTGATCGATAGATAATTATTTTATTTGGAACCTCAGCATATATAAAACTAATATAAAGTCGATAATTTGCTACCAAATGATGAATAATGACCTACCAAATATTTTCTACATTACATTTCGTTGGAATAATACGACATTGTTGTTGTTGTTGTTGTTTTAAAATTCGTCCAATTTGGACAGGCGAAGAGCATTGCCCATACTGCCTAGTCAGTAGTTACATTAATCTTCAGTAAATAAATCGTTTTGTCTTTCGTAGAATATACGAGCTATTTTTTTTAATAGTTAAGTACTTTTTTAAAAACAAAAATATAAAGTTGCCAATAAATTAATACTTCTTAATCAGTGTTAAATGTTATAAATATTAATTTGAGTAAATTAAATATTTATAAATTTATATTCAGTTACCGAGTAATTTCTTATTTTATTTATGTAAAAAATATGTATATAATAATAATAAACTGCCAATAATTTCTTACCTCTAGGACTGTAAGCTTCCAAAGCCGCAAATAATAAAAAAATCACAACACACTTCGCGGCAACACATCGCGACGACACCGCCATCTTTTATTAAAAATATCCAATATCAGTCCATACTCGACTCACGATAAATTACATTAATATAAATTAATTATCAATCAAATTATTTAATTTTATGGGAAACCATTATTTATGTAACATTAGAGCGGTGATTACCATATAGTTTATGGTCGTAATATGACGTCTAAAGTTGACGGCATCCGAATTAGAAATGCGACGAAAAAACTGTGGATTGCGCCGCGCCAGTTGCCCGCGCGCACTTGTTATTATTGACTGATGATACAATGTTTTTACTTTTTTCCGCGGTGCCCCGGCGCCTGACACCTATCCCCACTGGGAAAATGCTGCTGCTCCATTGTTGGGGTACGCAACATTTTGTGTCATTTCCGCATCGAAAATATTTTATTTATTTAATAAAGCCTTAATGCATAAAAACAAAAATTAAGGAGCATATGGCGGACTTAAGACTTTAAGACATGTTCTCCTAGTCAACCATAGGCATATATTAGTGAGCGGTGAAATAAAAATTGTAAAAAATATATCACATATATACATATCTACTTATTTTAATTTTTACCTATTTGTCGCTGGAAGAAGGTATATCTATGATATATACATGGTAAATTATATGTATGATGCGTATTTAACAAAAATGTAATAGTATATAAAAACTTAAATTGTATTATATATTATTATTATTATTATTATTACTTGTATATAAAAATGCACATATACGTATAATGTTTATACATAAATACAAATATACTAAAAACCTGAAATATAAATTAAAAAAAATAAAAACAATTTAAAAATTAAGAATTGGAGTGCCCTTTAATTCTAGTTTATTATTATTATTATTATTACTTATTCCTCTAGTCAACTTTTGCGCCGCCAGTTTCTATATATTTCTATCTTCTCTTCTCTCCCCAAAGTTTGTCTGGAAGAGATTGCTTATACGATAAGAGCGCTTTTTGTACTCTATTACTTTTATTTACTTCTCGTGCAATAAAGAGTAAATAAATAAACAATAAATATTATAAACGCGAAAGTTTGTGGATAGATAGACGGATGGAATGGATATTTGACTCTTTCGCCCAAAAACTATTGAAAGGATTTTGATGAAACTATACAGTAATATAGATTATATATCAAAATAACATATGGGCCATAATTTAAAGAGTTATTACGTAAATTGGGCTAAATATAAGTATGAATGTTAAGTAAGTGTGATGCAGAAGTTGGGCGTGTCAACTAATATTTGATATTCTGATAAATTGTTCACCATTCGTCGGTCGACAATTTGCGTAGAAAGTAGTTTTGATGTTGATTGACATCATCACATTGGTATTGGTATCGCCGACATATATCTGAATTGTGATTAAACAAAAAAAATAATTACCATGACATCGTAACACCGTTTCCGTAATTAGTTCGTTAGCTGTTGGATATTCCAGTATGTCTAATTGCTTTTATTATTGGCGATAGGTTAGAAATATTTAAGATATTGGATCATCACGAGTCAGAAATTAGAGAGCCTGATGTCAGTATTTATATTTATACTGGCTACTCGCCCCGGCTTCGCACGGGTATCCATGTATTATTAATATAAACCTTCTGGAGTCACTCTATCTATTAAAAAAAAAGAAGCTTCAAAATCTATTGAGTTGTTTTAAAGATTTAAGTATGCATAGGGACGGACAGACAGCGACAGCGACTTTGTTTTATACTATGTAATGATTTTACATTACTTTATTCACAAACGTAACACATCTTGGTATACAATATGGATAATTATATCATAATTCATCATTGCCTTGCTTTTATCCCATTATTTGGAGTCGGCGCAGTATGTAATTCTCTTCTACTGATCTCTATCGGCCGTCATATTCGAACATACTCTCCTTTTATTCATATCATGTTTCATACAATCCATCCATCTTTTTTTAGAGCGTCCTCTCCCTTTCCATCCTGGATGGATCGTTCATATTATACACTTTCCTTAAGACATGATCCTCATTCCTCCGCATAACATGCCTATACCAATTCAATCTATAGCCTCGCAATTTGTCTATTATTGGCGCAACTTTCAAACTTCCTCGTATATACCCATTCCTTATAAAACAATTACAATTTTAATTTTTCAGGGTTTCATAGACTACGTTAACCATTTACCATCAGATGCGCCGTATGCTAGATTGCCACCATAGTAGTATAAAAAAAATATTCAAAATAATAAATTATAAATTATGTAGTGATGAAATACAGGTATGTCATACTGTGGAAAAAAACTATCCAGATAGTTTTCTTTAATATGGCAAAATATGCCAACAGATAATATGACATATTAAAAAATCTATGTCTTGATCTATTATAGATACTTATGATACAGCGGCTAGATAAATTTGGTCAAATATATCACAATCATAGATCATATCCTGAAATTTATGTAATAATAATAACTGGACAATTCACACAGCGTCGTCTAGTGCCAAGCTAAGTAGAGCTTGTGTTATGGATACTGAACAACTGATAGAAATTCTTATACATATACACTTTTTATATATATATATATATATATATATATATACATAATATATATAGAATAATCTCCAATACAATTAATTATATTCATAAATATAAATGTTTATACCATGGCAGGAATCGAACTTGCGACTGACACAGAGACACAGCCAAACAACCAAGCCCATCAGTAACTAACTCTAATTCGCAGCTTAAGTTTCGATGTTATATAAATAAGTTATTTATTATTTCCTTCATTTTTTTCTTGTCGTTTCTGTTATTATTATGTATTTATTGGGAACTGTTATTTCGCAGTACAGCTTTATAGCGAAGTCTTGGGGTTGGTTCGCCGCGAATAAAATACCCAGATTTTGACGGAAGGCATATTGCAATGTTTTTAAATATTTAACATGTATGAACTGTTACATTATTTGGTACGTAAGAGTAAAATACTCCAGCTACGTATCGGGTAATACCAGAACAATTATTCCTTGAACAATGTTCCACGCTGAGCTCCGACTTTTTTTGTATTGCTACAGATCACATATAATAACACAATTTTATAATAATTATGTCGTAGTATGTATTGTCTATTCTTATGAACATGTTGTGTGTGATTAGTAACAAACAAATAAACGATAATATCTATTTACCTAACATTCATTTATTTATGTTATTTTCAAATCAAATAAAATTTATTACATTTAAACAAAACATCACACTCTACAGTAAGAATAATAGGAAAATCGCTTCTTAGTATAATTTTTTTGTAGTTTTTTCTTTATACCAGCAAACAAGCATATAGCCCATCTGATGGTAAACAGTTACCGTAGCCTATGGACGCCTGAAACACGAGAGGTGTCATGCGCCTTGCCGATCTATAAGAAACCTTAATGTACCTTTCTCGAAAAACCCCATGCTGTAGTCTCTCGATAAAACCTCGGCAGGTAGTTTATTCCACAATCTATTCTAAAGTGTACGCGGAAGGAAGCTCCTCTAAAACCGCACTGTCCGAAACCACTTAGGTTCCAGCCTGTGGCGATGAATTCCCTATCGATAGTATCTACTACAATAAGTCTCTACATTGCATAATGTCACTGGTGTCCTTACTAGGTCAATACTGGTCTGTATGAAAGACATCCAAAATCTTTATTGTTATTGAAATTATTTATATATTTCAACCAAATGTTGCCGACCACTGCACTATAGAGAGTGAAATGATAGTGCTGCGCGTGCTCGCAGTGACGCAGTCGCTCTTGAGCTACTGTCACGTTCACACTTAATAACTTTACTGCAGCGCTATTGCTTTCATTTTCATCCATTTAAATAGATGTTCCGCATAACTCAATTTGTTAGGATACTCTTTTCGAAATTACTTACATTGTCTGTCCATATACGTGGAAATAGTTGTGTTTTTTTTTATATATATATTTCTAAAAAATAAACAAACAGCCGCTATCACTTCCTACCTTCGAATGATTTGTAGCAGTTTTTTGGGCGAAATGATTTAAGTTTTGCGATAAAAAATCAAATGGACAGTTTTGCAAATCGAAATTTGACCAACTAGCCAACGGCTTGTAGAGGAATAGTTTTTGTATAAAACAAATTAAGTATGTATATATATTATCTATTTCTAATTCACACAGTCGCAAGCTAAGCAAAGCTTGTGTTATGGGTACTTAATAAGTTATATAAATTATTTAATTACATTGATTTTTTTTAAATACATACTTAACATACATAGAAAACAGCCAGAACGATGCAAACAATAATACCTATATATGAAATTCAAATGTTTGTATTGTGCGAGGAATCGAATCCGCGACCATATGGGGTAAGGCGGTGTGCTAAAGCTCTAAACCATCGACGCCGTCGAAGGTTTTCAGATATAATTTTTTTTTATTTTGCTACTATCTTTCAAAATGCAAAATGAACATTTATGAGGATGTTGGGGATAATCTCTGGATCTACTAAACTGATTTTGAAAATTATTTTACCAATAAACAGTCACTTTATTGTGAGTGTTATAGATATGTAATATCACGCTATGACCAATAGGAGCGGAGCAAAGAAAAAATTATGTGTCTGTGTATGATTTCAATTTAAGTTTTTTTACTAAATGCATATGAAGGTATATAGTATATACGGTACTCACAAAAAAACATAATTTTCGTTTCTTCTTGCTAATTTCTGAAACGGCTGGACGATTATAACTGGATTTTAGTTCCTACTTTTGTTTTATAAGTTTTATTGCATTTAAATAAAATAAGAAAATAAATTCTACGCGGGCGAAGTCGCGTGTAAGCGCTAGTTATAATTGAAATCCAAAATATTAATATTTTTGTGCAAGATATTTCAAACGATTTACTAAAAAAGTGACCAGTGTCTAAATATATAAAACTCAAAGGTGACTGACATAGTGATCTATCAACGCAATGATGAAATATTTCGCCGCAGAGCCAATGGGTCGAGTCTGTCACAAAAACGTTGATTACCAATGATTC